AATCAGAACTGGCTTTGACAAGCACTGTGGCAATTGGACAATTAAACAGACATTGGGGGGGGGGGAAGAAGAACAAACTGGGGATGAGGGTGGAGAAAACAGTGCAACAATGAATGAATGAAAACCCAAAATCTCTGTAAATGTTCGTTAAAACTAATAAAATTTAATAAAAAATAAAAAAAAAAAAGAAAAAACAAATGCCTGTTTTTTCTCATCAAGATCAGGCTAGGCAGTCTGGCCAGGGAGGCTGAGTCCTCCCTCTGTCCTTGCCTTCAGGGAGCTTCAGAGAATGGGGTGCTGAGTCAGCCTCTTAGGAAGCCACAGCACAGCAGGCCCTGGTTTACCCAGGTGAACACCAGTTCCACAAATGTTGCTATTCAGACTCGTTCACCAGCAAGGTGCTTTAGTTCAAGATCTGGCTGCAATCAGAGTTCGAGGAAAGCAGCCTCAGCTTAGATGAGGAATTCTTTTTGTTCGCTTTTCTTTATTTCTTGTCTTAAAATCACCCAGCGGCATTGAGATCCAATGTTGTTACATCTGTGAGCACTTAGACACACTTTTAATCACTCTTCTGCCCTCTGAGAAGCAGAATAACAAGAACGGGAGAGACAAGAGGAAAAACACAGAAAACGGAACCAGGGAATTTGCCCCAAGGCTGCAAGGGACAAGAAGGACACTGGGAAGCCTTGTTTTGACAGAGTTCTTTTTCCTCCTTCTGATCAAAGTCACCATCAAATATTGACTTCACATGTAATGTTTCAAAGGCAGACAGGCAAGCTTCAAGCTTGAAATGCAGACAGGCTTTTTGGCAATGGTGCCTCGAGTGTTTTCAGTCTCTGACTGTGGAAGGGGGTGAAGATGCAGAGTGACTGGGATAGTTTTCCAGGCAACTCACCTGGAGAGAAGTGTGGGCAGGTGTTAGACCAAAGACAGAACATAAACCTAGACCTCTCAGTTTTGTTCCACAGACAGTGGAGGAGATGACTGGAATTCCTGGGGCTGACAGGCTTGGGTTTGGAACATACCTGGTGAATTCCACGGAGTAATACTGAATCGGGGAACTTCCTTCACTTTCTCCAGGCTTCCAGGAGAAAGCCACTTCTGAATCAGAGACCACGATGACATGAGGCTGCTGGGGGGCTGCAGGTGGCAGGCAGGAATCTAGACAGGGCAGTAAACACAGGGAGACATGGCTGGGGGTCTCAGCTGCCAGAGGAGTTTCAATTGTTAAAAACCTGTGTGTACCCCACAACTCAAACATTTCAGTTCAGACAGACCCCCAAACCAAAGCAAGCCAACACAGTGATCCTGAAATAGTACAAGGGAAGACTTGAGTCTATGAACTGGTTTTCCCCAATCTCCCCCACAACAACCCTGCTTGAAAATCCAACTTTCAGATCATTGACCTGTGCACACAATAGTTTGTTCCTTTTAACACCTTCTCAGAACTCACACCTCTAACCAACTTTTGATTCCTCTGCAAGTGTAAATGGGAAACCCCAGGGAGTCCTGAGGACACAAAGCTCTAGAGCTCAGTTACCAACCAAATGGTCAGTGGTTTGACTCTACATGCAGCTTCACAGGAGAACGGATTTGGCAATATGCTCCCTTGAAAACGACAGACTAGGAAACCCTGCAGGGCAGTTCTACTCTGTCCCATTTGGTCACTACAGAGTTGGGAGTTGACTAGATGGCACACAACAAGGAAAACTGGAGTCCATGGGAGACACGTGTGGTTAAATGTGTGACTTCTAATCAACAATCAGCTTTGCCTTGGAAGACAGGCCGAAGAATCTGATTTCTAAAGGTTGAAACCTTGAGAAGCTTATAGGGCAGTTCTGCTTTGCACACATGAGATCATCATGTATTGTTGTTAGGTTTCATCTAGTGACCCTATGAACAACAAATCTGAACCCTGTCCTATCCTGTGCCACCCTCATCATCTCTGACACGCTTGAGTCTGCTGCTGCTGTCACAGTGTTAATCCATCTTGTTGAGAGTCTTCCTCTTTTTCTGCTGACCACCTTTCCAAGCATGATGCCCCTCTCCAGGGACTAGCCTCTCCTAGCGACACATCCACAGTATGTGAGACGAAGCTTTGCCATCATCCTTGCCTCTAAGAAGCACTCTGGCTGCACTTTTTCCAAGCCATAACTCTTTGTTCTTTTGACAATTCATGGAATGTTCAGTGCTCTTTAAGAGCTCATTAGGAGTCGGAATCAACTCAAAGGTAGTGAAAAACAGCAAGGAAAATAAAAGCTCTGAACTAACGTCCTGCATTCTCTAGTCTTCCTTTTATACCCTTCACCTTCTCATAATCAGAAGAATACACAAAAAAGGCATTTGGAAAACACACTTATCCAAAAGACTGAATCTTCCATGATCCCATCAGTCTAAGGTAACCCTCATTACTGCCTTTATATCCAGACTTTAATGCTCTGTGTTCATGCTACTATTTCTGTCTTCTCTCCCAAGCAAAAGCCCATGCATCTGTTAAAACCTGGGACACAGGTAGTTTTCTTTCTGAATGCTTCCCTGAGCCTCGAGGTAGAGAGGAAAGCTGCAAGCTGCATGTTCCTTCTCTCTGAGGCAGACCTTGGGTGCACTGGAGTTACTCGTGACCATGGCCTCACTTCTCCTTCCACAGTAAGCTCTTTGCAAGCAGCAGCTGGCACTGATTCATTTCTGTCCCCAGAGTTGAGGCTGAGTGAGGGTTTATAGGACAATTCCTGCCTGCTTCTATCCTACCCCTGCCTCGCATCTCAATCCCTACTCATTTTTCAAACTTCCCTTAACTGTCAGCGCCTCAAAGAAATGTCCTCTCACTCCTATGGCCAAGTTTTATTTCTTTTTTTAAAATGCACTATTATGTCACTGTGTGTAGCACTTACTACAGGCTGGGAGCTCTAAATTCTGAGAAGACATGAGCTGCACTTGCTACTGTTCTTCAAGGAATCCTGAGGCCCTGGTGCATAGTCGTTGCTGTTGTTAGCTGTTAACACTTTGGTCTCTGACTCCTGGTGATGCCACAAATGGAACCAGTCCTAGGCCACCCTTGGGATCAGTTGCACATCAGCCCATTGCGATCCTTAGAGGTTTTTATTGGCTGATTTTACAAACAGGTCACCAGGCCTTCCTTCCGAGTCTGTTTGGATCTGGTTGCTCGACTAAAAGCTATTTAACATCATAGCAGCTCTCTCTCATTGCTGTCAAGTTAGAACAAACTCCTAGCTGATCCTCAAGTGGGTTTCCAAGGTTGTGAATAGCAGAAGAGGAGCTTGGCTATCTTGTTCCCCCAAAACCACAGGTGGGTATCCAAACCGCTGGAGGGGTGCAGCCTTTGAGCTAGCAGTGAGCTCCCTATGGGCTATTGCACCAGACCTCCCTATTCTTGCAACACACAAGTCCTTCTTGAAGGCTGATGTTGCTGCACAGGAGATTCATGGCTGAGAAACGGGACCCAGGTCTCGTGTATGGAAAGTAAGAATTCTACAACAGTGGTACACAGTAGTTCCTCATTTATACTTGCTGAATGAAGTAACAAATAAATAGCAACTAATCATTTTTGAAAATACATTTGAACTCTTTTTACCTTGGGGCAATGTGGTAATACGGTGAGGAGAGCTAAACCGTCCATGGCCAGTCAGGCTGTGAGCTGCTACGCTCACTCGATACTCAGTGCCAGGCTTCAAGTCTCCAATCACTTCTTCCTGTCAAGGAGCAAACATGAGAGGCACAAACATCAGGTGTTTCATTTGGGCAAACAGGGAAATTGTTATCCGGGGTACTGCTCTAAAATTACCTCAGACAGAGATGGTTTGGTGTTTTCCGTAGAGTTGGCCTCATTTTAAAATGAGTGCAAAAGGTAAAGGCAATGTTATTTCCCCAAAGCAGAGGATTACTTTTCTTTGGACTCTATGGATTGTTGTATAATGAGAACTCACCCACACCATCAGAAGTTATTGGTAAAGGCTATAGTCAGTAGGCTGCAGAAAATCAGGGAGCAATCTCATTCTCCAGGGGTGGAACTTCTCAGCCTCTCTTCTCACTTGCATATCTCATTTGCAGATGAACAAGGAGCAAGAGGCCTTAGCCTATACCCAGAGATCAGGTGCCCAGTTGTGAGTTCTTAGACTCTGTATAGGCATCTGAATCCCATGAAAGCCTCTGTCCTGGTGTTTCTGACTCAGCAAGTCTAGGAAGCGTGTTGTTACTTGCATTTCTAGTCAGTTCTCAGGGAGCTCTGGTAGCCTGCTTTTAAGGAGCTGGGATGCAATCCCAAAGGTACACAGTTCAAATCCACCAGCTGCTCCACCAAGAAGGATGAGTGATCTCTTCCTGTGTGATTTAATGTCTCTGAAAACCAACTAGAGGGTCAGCTGGGGGTGAGTTCCAACGCGAAGGTAAACAACAAAAACAATAACAACAACAGTCAGTTCTCAGGTGCCACGGCTGCGGATGGAGTGGGTCTCACTTTGAAAATCACAACGATGGGTGATGGATGTGTGTGAGAACTTCTCTTACAACAATGACCCTGGCAGAAAGGACGCCTTAGGCTTTAGTGATGGTGAGGCTGCCTGAGTCTGAAACATTGTTGTTGTTGTTGTTTTGTGCCATCGAGTCGCTTGTGACTCATAGCGACCCTATGTACAACAGCCCTAAACTCCGCTCTGTCCTGTGCCAATCACACTGTCTCTGACACTCCCATTCCAATTATCCCAGTCACTGAATCAATCCACCTCATAGAGGGCCTTCTTCTCCTGCGCCGTCCCTCCACCCGCCCAAGCATGATGTCCCTCTCTAAGGACCGGTCTCTCCTCACAACATGTCCAGAGTATGTTAGACGGAGCCTCAGAATCCTTGCCTCCAAGGAGCCACCCGGTTTAACCCTTTCCAGGACAAATCTGTTTGTTTTCCTAGCAGTTCATGGTATTCTCAATACTCTTCTCCAGCACCTCAGCTCAAAGGCATCAATTCTCCTTCTATCCTCCTTGGTCACTGTCCAATTGGAGCCCTGTTAATGAGGAGCAGCAGGAGTGGGCAGGGCATTGGCATTGGAACCAAACAGGTCTGAACTGGAATCCCAACTGTTCCACTTATATTGTTGGCTTTACTATTGAAATTCTCTGAGCCTCGGGTTTTCAGTAAAATGGGGATGATAGAGAATTTCATGTGATTTTAGTGTTGCGGATAATATTTGTAAAGTGGGTGATAGAGAGCAAGCATTAGAGAAATGAGGTTGTAATGACGATTGTCTGAACTATATGGGGACCTGCTTTCCTGATTACCAATGTGTTATAAGTTGAATTATAGTGAACATTGTTGGGTGCTGTCAAGTCAGAACCAACTCATAAACTCTCCAGCGGGTTTTAAGACTATAAACTGCACAACAGGAAAGTGTCCATCTTTCTCATGAAGAGCAGTGAGTGGATTCAAACTGTCTGTCTTTAGGCTGGCAGCACAACCCCTCATTCAATAGACCACCAGATCTTCCATGGTGAAAAGTATTATAAATTGAATTGTGCTCAATTTTTTTGGTAATAGGATTTTTTAATTGGTTTGGTAATAAGTTCCTACCAGTGTAAAGTAGTTCTGAAACTAATGAATTTGGAGATATAAAAAGAACAGAATCGACAGATATACCCACATGGCAGATATTTCTATAAGCTCAAAAACTCCAAGGATTGATAGTTACTAGAAGATGAATTATATAAAAAAAGGACCCTTGTAAGCCAGAACCATGCCCTTGATTTAGACTTCTAGACTCCTAAACTCTTACAAAAAATAAAAAATCTCTTCTTTAAAGCCACTTCCTTTTGAGATTTGTTTCACAGCAGCACCAGCTGACTAACACATCTGGGCTCACCCCACTTGGCTGATGCACACGCCCATGTTCCTGTGGCACCTTCCATGACAGCCCACATCCAGTCATCTTACTTCACTAACTGCTGGGCCACTAATTAGCATTCAGTATATTTGGTGAATTGTTATTTTCCCCACATTGATTGCTACTAAATAAAAATTAATATTTTTTTTTAAATTCAGCAAATAACAATTGGATACTTAACTCAGTATTTTTTAAAAAAATTATATTGTGATTTTAACAAAAGTTTACAGAAAAGTTGGATTTTCATTGATTCATAATTCATTAGTTCTTTACCCTGACTAGGGGGCTCTGGTGGCCTAGTGGCAAGGAGCTGTGTTTCAATCGCTAAGGCAGGTGATCAGAAAGCACCAGCTGCTCCGTGTGATTTATTGTTGTTGTTATGTGCCCTCAAATCAACTGCAACTCATAGCAACTCTATGCACAAGAGCTCTGAACACTGCTCTGTCCTTGGCCAATCTCATTGACTCTGATACACCTACCCCATGACTTCAATTACTGTGTCAATACTTCTCATCCAGGGTTTTCCTCTCCTATGCTGTCCCTCCACCCACTCAAGCATGATGTCCTTCTCCAAGGATTGGTCCCTCCTAGCAACATGCTCAAAGTATGTGAGATGGAGCTTTAAAATCTTTAGCTCCAAAGAGAAAACTGGTTTCATCCTCTCCAGGACAGACATGTTTGTTCTCTTGGCAATCATGATATGTTCAGCACCACAACTCAAAGGCATCAATTCTTCTGTCATTCTTATTCCTTTTTCTCTGGTGCATAGCAAGTAATTCCAAAGACGATGTCCTGGGTCAGGTGTACCTTAGTTTCTTAACTGATATCGTTGCTCTACAGCACTCTGGAGAGGCCCCTGAAGGCTGATTTTCCCAGTACAATTTGTGTTTTAGGATTTCTGCCTCTGAAAACCCACTGGAAGGTCAGCTATGAGTCGGGTCTGACTCCAACTACTCTGACTGCATTTTAGGATCACGTGGGCTTTGTTTTATTGTATAATATAATGGTTCCTAAGGCAAAGTACCACTAAGTGGATGACTTTAAGCAACAGGAATGTTTTATAGCTCTGGAGTCTAGATGTTTAAATCAACAATTTGGGGGAGGCTATATCCCCTGTGAAGTCTCTATCACAATATTCTTTCATGTTTCTGCTACTGACTGGCAACTTAAGCCATTTCTAGTCTTGTGTATACATCTTTACATGTCATGGTTTTCCTCTCTCCCCGTTTCTTTGTATCTCTTCTCTTTCATAGGATACCACTCAGTGTGGACAAACATGACTTGATCTTCTTGATAACATTTTCAATGAAACTGTGGCTAAGTCTGAGAAGAACGAAAATTCCACATCATTGGATCATGCTTATGCTTATGCTTGGACAAAGAGGCAGTCGTCAGAACAGAAAAGGGAAACACTGCATGGTTCAAAATTGGGAAGGGTGTACGCTCGGGATGTGTCCTATCTCCATACCTTTTTAATCTGTATGCAGAACAGATCATCTGGGAGGCTGGGAGGAGAAATGTGGCATCGGGATTAGAGGAAGACTCATCAACAATCTGCATTATGAAAATGACACAACTCTGCTTGCTGAAACTGAAGAGGACCTGAAGTGCTTGCTGAGAAGGTCAAGGACTTCACCTTTCAATATGGATTGAAGCTCAACATCAGGAAACAAAGATTCTCACCACTGGGCCAATTGGCAGCATTATGATAGGTGGTGAAGAGATTGCGGTTGTTTGTTTGGCTCCCCAGTCAACATTCTTGGTACCAGCAGCCAGGAAATCAAAAGACAAATTGCATTGGGAAAGTCTGCTGTCAGAGATCTCTCCAAAGTACTGAAGAGCAATGATGTCAGTCTGGAGACTAAGGTGTGCCTGATGCAGACCATGGTCTTTGCAATTACTTGTTAAGGATCAGAGAGCTGGACAATGCCTAGGGATTCTAAAAGGAGAATTGATGCCTTTGAGCTGTGGTGGTGGTGGAGAAGAGTATTGAAAATACCATGGACTGGTAAGAGAACAAACAGGTTGATCCTAGAGAGGGTGAAACCAGGTTGCTCCTTGGAGGCAAGGATTCTAAAGCTTAGTCTGACATAATTTGAACATGTTGCAAGGAGGGACGAGTCCTAGGAGAGGGATGTCATGCTTGGGAGAGTGGAAAGATAGTGTGGGGGAGGCGGGAAGAAGACCTTCTATGAGAGGGATTGATTCAGTGACTCATTTAATGGGAGTGAGTGTATCAGAGACAATGAGATAGAGCAGAGTTTAGGGCTGTTGTACATAGGGTTACAATGAGTTGCCTGCACCTAACAAAAGCAACAACAAATTTTCTAAATAAGGTCATGTTAACAGGCTGCAGGAGTTCTATTTTTCAGGGACAATTCTATCTATAAAAAGGTATTTTTACTTAATGATGCTTGAGCCCATGCTCCATGCTCCGAATCTCAGGGGCCCCAAGGCCCTGACCTGGCCAGGTTTGTAGGTCCCTGGTCTTGGGCTCAGCTCCATGCTCTGAGTCCCAATGGTTCCTCTTCTTCACATGTATCTACCACCTCTCCCCTGCCTCTACCATCTTAAAAACTTCTGTTCTCCATCATGCATACATTCCTCTCCTTAGGGACCACTTTCTTCTTCTTCTTTTTTTTTAAAGATTCTGCATTTTAAATGGTTTTATTAAAAAATTATATTGATTTCTTTACCAAGTTTGAATACATTGTTTTTCACAAAAGATCCTTCCCATTTCCTTCACCCCTCACCCACCCATCGAATTGTGTAACCCTATGATTAACACACTACCCTCCCACTCATTCTCACCCCTCTTTTTAC